GGGGGGGGGGGGGGGGGGGGGGGGGGGGGTTGCTGTGCATGCCCTGAGGCGATACTCGCTATTGAGTGAGGGAAAAACTGCCATGTGTTGCCAAAATAGGCGGATCCAGAAGAGGGGTGGGTAGGGAGGGGGCAAGGGCCCCCTTTCGTTGACACCAATGCTCCAGAAACCCGGCTTTGTCCATAAACTCTGAAATAGCAGTGTTACAACTCTATTCCTAGTTTTTGCATAGTTCCGCTGTGGGAGGGGGTTCTCCTCCAGGAGCCCCATTCTCCCCCACCTCCGTCGCTCCCCGGCCTCCAGGAGCTTCTCCACCCCCCGTTGTTCCCCCTCCCTCTCCCCTACGCCGAGAGTTTGTCCTGGATCTACCTCTGGTTGCCGAGGTAACGAAAAGCCCCATGAGGTCTGTGCAGTGGTGTCACGGGCTGCTTTGTCACCTAGGTAGCTTGCTATGTGAGTTCGCTTACCCGATGAGGGCAATTTTCAGGGAATGTTCCCGACCAACGCACAACTTAAAGATTTCAAATTCAGCCATCCACTACATGAGTTACTCAAGTACAGCCCCGTGAAAGTTTTTGGGGGAAAAATCGATGGCGCAGGAACTAAAAAGGCTGGGAGGGGCGTGTTCCCCCTTCCCGCAGGTGAATCTAGGGCGGTTTCCTGAGGGGCATAACCTTCTTCCTTCGTCACTAAATGCTCCGCTCGAAGGCTCCTGGGGGATAGGGGGGAGGGAGGGCGAGGGGGGTTTCAAGTAGACTTTTTTACAGTAAAATAACTGTTACCTCAGCCGCTGGGAGGGGGAGGGGGAATATCCCTCGCCAATGCCTCCCCCTGTCGCTACCTTTTTTTTTCGTTAGTTCTGCTGTACATATGTTTATTGGGTATCAGTCAATATGTGCGTCAAAAACCCCTTTTGATTTTTGTGCCAAAAATGCGCCTCACGTACGTGCCAAGGTCACATTTCACGTGGTTTTTTTTTCACGGCAAGCTGCTGCTGCTAATGGCTTCCCCTCCCCCCCCTTCTCCTGGGATTTGATGAGGGCGCTCTGTTTTGTTGAGAAATCTCACCAGCAGCAATTAAACTTTGAAAAGAATCAAAGATCCATCGAGAGAGGGCATTGCTTCTCATATCGATCCCTTGATAATTTGCTAGCGCTTGAACATCTGGCGGCGAGCGATAAAGCATAACGGATCTCAAAGCAGGCCTCTTTTGTGTGTATATTTATGTGTGTGCGTCTGTGTAGATATGTGTGTGCGCCTGTGCGCGTGTGTCTGTGCGTCTGTGAGTGTTTATGTGTGTGTGTGAGTGTGTGTTTGCATTTTATATCGCTGAGGTGGATGAGTTTGAATTTCGTTTCGTCGCCGATTGCTGGAATTGGTGAGGCGCTAATTGTTGAGTTTGTGCTGCTGTTGTTGCAGGATGATGTATGGTATAATTTCATTGGCGGCCCTCCTGCTGCTTGTCGGTAGCGCACAGTCGCAGGAGGAATGCATCGCAGAGTGCGCTAAGGCTTACACCGATCACAAGGTATGCTTTTCAATTTGGGCTTCACAGGGGGAAGGGTTTCTGTTCTTGAGCTTCAAAGGGGAAAGGTTTTTGCTACCATATTTTTTGCTATTACCTCGGTACTTTTTTTTGGAGCAGTGCAGCGCAATCCAGCACGAAATTGGAGATGTTTTTTTATCCAGGAAATTGGAGCTGTTTTTTTAGCCGTTGTGATTTCAGACCTCCCGTCCTCTTCCAGTCTCCCAGCTCTGGATATCCATTGCTTGTATATGTGAAACTTATATAACACAGAGAGGTTTGTGGTAATTGTTCTAGAAGCCGTACACGACAATCACGCGTAAATGAAGACTGAATTTGAGGAGTTAAGTCTTATTTGGACGGGGAATATTCTCCAAAGTCTGAGCCTCCCAGCTTTTCTGGTTCTCGAGTTAGCAGTTTTCTCGTCAAAACTTTCACAGGACCGCATGTGACCTATGAGCATACTTGGGGGCTGGGTTTGGAATTTTTAAGAGAAGTATTTGCAGGAAGCGGAAGCAGCATGCAAGGAGGGATGTCGCCTTCAGATCATCTTCGCATTCACCTCAGACAGAGATGTGCAGGCTGTCAGGGAGGAGTGCTACAACGGTTGCGTGAAATCGTACAAAAATCAGTCCGATAAAGCAGCATGCTCGTTCGGCTGCGATAAACAGCCTGATATGAAGAAGGTTAGGGTAGGTTGCCTTTGAACTATTACCCTTGAACACACACATGCTTGTCACAAGCCTATGCTCATTCATTGATTTATTCGTTCATCAAACAGCAAACATGTCATGCACTGGAATTTAGAAAAGCAAAAGGAAATACCAAAAATAAATGGCCGGCGTACCGACTGCCGGCATGAAAATGCGTTTTTTGCACAGTTCCCCGCAGCTTTTCTCGCTACTGGCACCGGTTTTTCCGGCAAATGCTTCTAGCGAAAAGAACTGAAACTAGCCACCAGGGCAATCTGAAAACATCCTTTTGAAATTTCAGCTTACTAGCTTTCCTGGTTTCCGAGTTATTCTTACCCGAAAAAACTTTGGCGGGCCCGTACATGGATACCATGTAAGGGCACTCATTTGGGGATGGGAACCCGCACACGCTTGTAATTAGTTTCAGTCCTGTAGCTTTTGTAGGTCTTGAGATGAAAAATCGGTACAGACACACAGCGCACATACAGATACACACACACGCACAGACAGTCTCCCGTCAGTATGCGTTTTCTGCATTGCACAGATGCAAAAAGCAAGAGAAAATGCAAAAAATATTGCGGTTATTAACGAAATAGCCTTTGATTGTCGGTTTTTAGTAACAAAAATTAAGGCTGCATAATTAACTTGATATCGTCGGTTTCATTTGCGTCTGGCACTGCTGTCGTCGTTGCGCTTCTGAATTGCTATTTTCCAGAAATTCCTTGAGAACCATAAGTTAGCCCCACCGTTAATAACTCACCGTTGAAACGGATAACCTCAGGAGGCTTGGCACGCATGCCGTCAGCTTCAAGTAAGTGGGAATTTGAAAATATAGCCACACACCACATAGGCGGATCTAGGATGGCTTTCTGGGGGGAGGGGCGACTTTGCCAATTTTTCCCCCTCCCCTCCCCCTTCGCCAGTCGACTTTAAACTGCGGCGACGACTAGGGAGGACGGATAACCCCACATCAATATTTGTTTTCTGCATTGCATAGATGCAAAAAACGCATAAAAAGCAAGAGAAAATGCAAAAAAATATCGCGGTTATTGACGAAATAGGGGGAGGGGTTCATATTTGCGAGGTCGTACGTTTTTAGAGGAAATCACCCTAAAATTGGAGATTCTCAGCTTCCGCAATTGCCGAGATAACAATTTTCCCCGCCGAAACTTTCAAGGCGGCCGTAAGTGATGCTCGGGTGCGCGGGGAGGGAAAGGGAGGAGAGGGAGAAATAAATGTGGGGTCTAGGAGGGGAGGGGGCAGCAGGGGATATCGAAGAGAGTTTTCTATAGTAAAACAACTCCTGCCAGTCCCGCTGGGGTGTAAGCAAACCCCATCTTCTTTCTCCTCCCCTCTCCTGCCCCTTAGGATCTCCCAGTGGCTACACTTCGCACTTGGAAGCGCGAACAGACCGTTAAATAGCTTCCACTTGATAGTGTATGATTAATTTTTTTTGGAAATTTCTTGTTTGACATTTGGTGCAAGAACTCTGTGCTTATTTCAGGTGCGTGTTTCGATAACGAACAAAAGTCCGACATTCCAAGTGGCCCGTGGAGCGATGGAGAAAATGATGCACCGTATCACCAATGCATTCCCGTCATTCGGGTCCGTTTTTTTACGCTTCATTATCATTGACGGCGCGCTTGGAACCTTACCAATTGGTCGATACAGCTCAGAGGGGGCGATTGAGGCCAGGACAATGGGGCGGAACGAAGTTGACAGGATTTACTGAAATTTATGCTTAGATGAAGCTGAAGGCAAATAAGTCCGACAGGATTTGCTGGAACTTATGTTAAGCTGAGGCCCCTCTCTTCCTCTCTGTTAACCCCTCTCTTCCCTTAGTTCTGTAGATTACTCTGCACAAGTATTAGCCTTAGTTTTATCAAAATTTTTGAGCAAAGCGTGCAGATATCAGGCTTAGATATCAGCTTCCAGTGCTGTTGCGTTGTGGTTTGGAGGCAGACCCGCACTCTTGTACTGGATGGCCATCTCCAGTCGAATTTCCTATTTTTTTCCATCACTTTCCTGCTGCTTCTATATATTTAGAAGGAGAGATTGCAGTTAAATAGCAGTAAGATTAGGGGATATAATTCATGCGCGTCACTTAGTTTCTTCCTCACCAAAGCAAACGAGGGACGGTGCGGCGGCTGATCCAGCCGTTAGCCACCCCTCTGAACTCGAAAACACGCCGAATTAATTGCATCTCCTGGTCTTGCGTTGCAGGATAATGAGCTGAACGAAACGTTGGGATACAGTACAGGAGAAAGTCTAAAAAATATGTCATTGGGGTTTAACTTGACAAACAAATCTGACTGTTTTTGCCAAGCGAAAGTTGCTCCCCATCGGGTGGCTAAGTTGCTCTCAAGAAGGCTAATGTACTGATAAAAAGTGGTTCTTACAGACAAATACTGCATGTGTTCAAGCCATTGCAATTTTTCCGTAAAAAATTGTTTGGTGCTAACGATAGCGAAAAAGGAAAATTGGATGAAATTGAAAAAGTAATTTATAGTGCGACGAAAAACGACACGAAGTATGCCCAAACAACATATTTACATTGTTAATGCAACTTGCTGCTCCTTTATTCTTAAGATTCTCAAGATATTATTCTTAAGATTTTCAAGATGTTATTCTTAAGATTCTGCTGCCACTCGCATTTTTCCCATGCTATTTTCTTCAACATTTTTCCGGCGCAGCTTCCTAGGTGCCTTGCATGACGAGTTTTTGCCTTCACAATAGTCGCTTTCTTTCGTATTGGTTGGAACGTGGTGTATCGGTTTCATAAGAATTTGCTTTTTACGAATGATAGATGTTAATGGCTGAGATTTTCAACTGTTGGATTTGAAAGTAGTCTGTTTTTTGTTTTTTTTTTTTTTTTTTTTTTT